GCAACCTCTTAACCTAACCTATTTCATCAACCTCTATAAAAACCACCTAATCAACCTAACCTAACCTAATACACTTACAAACCTAACCTCCTTAACACCAACTATTACTCATAACCTATCCTTAACCTAACCACTCATAACAACCTCATACAACCTCTTTCATAAGTGGCCTCATTTCCCCACTTAAAAATACAATATAAGTTTGGGTTTAATTTGACTCAATTAAAATAGTTTATGGTAGACAGACAGAGTACAAAGTGTTCTTGTTTGTGTGAGTTTTCTGTCTGTCTGTCTGTCTGTTGGCTGTCTGTCCTGTCACCTGTCCATTTCTGTCTGTCTGTCTATCTGGTTATTTCTGTCTGTCTGTGGTTGTCTCCCTGTCTGTCTGTCTTTGTCTCCTGTCTATGTGTCTGTCTGTCTGTTTATCTGTGAACTTAGCAATTACAGTACTGTACCTAACAAAAAAACCTAACCTCTCCAAGCCCAACCTAACTTAACCTAACACAACATAACCCGACCTAACCTAACTAACCCAACACAACATAATGACCTGACCTAACATAACCAACTAACACAACATAACCCGACCTAACATAACCTAACCTAACACAACATAACCCGACCTAACATAACAACCTAACACAACGCGCCCACAAAACCTTGAACAAACCACACAAACCGACCCTAACCATAAGCAAAACCAACACACATAACCCAGAACCTAACATAACTTAACCTAACACAACATAACCTGACTAACATAACTCAACCTAACACAACATAACCCGACCTGACCTAACATAACATAACCAATAACACAACATAACCCGACCTGTAACATAGCAACCATACATAACCTAACATAACCCAACCTAACACAACAAAACTTGACCTAACATAACTTAACCTAACAGGTCGTAATAGGGTGTCTAATCTTCAGGTAAATTGGAGAAATCACATAACTTATATAAAACACTGGTACTGTATGTATGTGTATGTATGTACAGTGATCTCGATTAACAAATTACCTTCCATAAGATTCTTCAATTCGTTCAACAATTCCTTTAATTTTTTCCCAATATGTTTACGCTCTTCTTAGCTGTAGTATTAGTCCATAATACAGTAATCGATTTCAGACAAATTCTTACCATTTTAGTAAATATCAGAAGGTTGTACTATTCCAATAATTTTAAAAGTTTTACATTAAAATTTTTTAGTCATTTAACAATTAATGAATTATAAAAAAGTACAGGAAACTATTTTTTGCGCTCAAACAGCCACTAAACACCAAGCTTGAAAGTCAATTTGGTTTACCAGTTCAGAAGAACATCTTGAGACTCTTCAACATTAACACTTTTTTCTGTGTTTCCAGTCAAATTATTGGTCGTTTTGAAATAGATTTTATATTGAAATCATATATAACGAAATTACAATGTTGATTTAAAGAAAAATAATCTTGAATTAAACCAAGTGAACTATAAATTTTATGGGTGAGAAATGGCACCATGGGGTGAATTCTCTTCCACCCAATGCCTTCTCTTCTCCTTCTCCTCCACCCCCATTCTAATTCCCATCATCATCAACCAAGAGCCTTCACATGCACCTCAAAAGTAGTGTACTCATTTATTTTTTGAATTTTTATATAATTTTCGGTGAGCTGGGACCAATTACAAACCATTGAAACAATTTTAGGTTAACGAGCAACCTTCTGGAACAGGTGTGCCTCGCTTACAGACTCTGAGGCACAGTCTACAGATATTTAGGTTAGGCCTAGGTTGAGCTGGACTAGGTTGGGATTGGGATGGAGTTAAGACAGGACAGGATTGGAGTTAGAAAACGTTATGTTAGGTTAGGGACCAGAATTGGTAATCTTCGATAATATATCATTTGTGACCTCCGATGAGATGAAAATCGTCATAGAACACGTAATATAATGAGGTACAATATAGTATTATCACTAGTCTAGTATAGGGGGTAGAATAGTTCCCACCCTTAGGGTGGTCCATAAATACCTTTCATAATCAAAAGGTGTCGTTCGAGACACAAATACAGCCCCTCTGACTTCACGGGGTTAGGGACCATCCGGTAGTAAGTCGAAAAAATTAAAAATAATACATATAAATCTAAAATAGATTGTCTCTTTTTCCTTCTCAACACCACAAAACTCTCACTTTTAAGCTTACCAGCCATTTTAAAGGAACCACAAACCAAAATTGTCGGCACTGACGAACAATCACTAACGTCGGGACTTAATGTAATTTAACAAATTTTGATCGACTGAGGTCCGTGGGCATACCTATCAAGATTAACATTAAATAACCAAAATCTCAATAGTTTCTGGTGACGGCACATGACGGTCTGGTAATGTCCTACAGATTACCTCATAAACTTAACTTCATTTCTACCTATAGGGTCACATAAAACCATCTACTATGGGTATAATAATTGTTTCATATACAACCTATATAAAATTAAATCACATTACTACCAATAAACCAATAATTCTAGTAAACTATTAAGAAATTTAGTCGATTAATCATTATGTCTCAGGAACATACAGCCTATAAAAAAAATTAATATATTGTTTTTTCACTATTCATTCATACATACATACATACATACATACATAATCTAAATATACATAAAAATAATAACTCTGTGTAACAACGATGTATTCTACTGACCTGCCATCACCTTATCTCACCACAGATAAAAAAAATAAATTTGTGGTAATTACTGACAGAAGATAACAAGCTAGAGTGACGTCATAGAGGTGTGGTGAACTATGACCTCTTCAACTTAATACATCATAAACGTTATAATAAAAATACAGTGTTTTCATACAGATTATATTACCTCTTTTATCATACATGAAATATAGTTAGATATATTAGAAAATAACAATATGGCTCGTTAAAGGTCTATAATATAAACAATGTGAGGAGTAGTTGTGTGGTTACCCTCTATACATATTTCTCATAATTGCAAGGTATTGGTCCCATACTAACTCGGGAGGAAATATATAATACACCTACCTGTGGAAGTTAGGAGGTGACTAGAAGAAATTTCACGACCTTGACGGAATAATTACTAGAAGCCGCAGCTAAAACCGACATACTGGGCGGCGGTGGTCCAAAAGGTTGACACTACGAACACCAACACACAAATATTTTCCAATTATTTTTTATTTTTTATTTACTATCACTACCATATTTATTCACATTATATCTCTGTATATTCATTCATCTATATTAGATTTAACTAATAACTAAATGTGTTTCTATCATGTTATTTCTAGTAAGGATCATATTAGAATAGGTCAAATAAGTTGGTTTAAGGCAGGATAGTTGGAATTAATTATATTCGATTATTTAAAGATTATTTATTTATTATTTAATTAAAAAATCAGTTGAGATTAATTATTTTTTCTTAAATTAATAAATAAGGCGATCATATCGTCGTAATTCATTATTATTCTCACTCACAGACCAGCTGCCTATCTTGAATGGTACCTTGCCTTAAAGTCCATTATAAAGCATCAATATAAAGTCTTTGATACTCTATAATTTACTTTGATTTCTTTATTTTCATAAGTTCAATTAAATAAGTTCAATTCTTCTTTACTTATACATTAATACGTCATGGATCCAAATGATAACATGGCGTTATTAACAAGAATATTTCAAGGTTAATGGTAGTTATCGCTTATTTTTACCTTTGTGTATGGTGTCAAGTCCTCTAAATGGTTGATTGTAAGTCTCTCGATCCTGTGAGAATTTTAATCTTGTTATTATATAATTGTTGCTAAATTAAGCCTATATGGAGACACATGTGGACTCGAGATGTGATATTCAATGTTATTATTACCATTTTTTTATTGTTATCGTTTTTAGTTATTCTTTAATTTATTGCCGTTTTGTGTTATTTATCCATTCTATATTAAGAAGGAGGTTTTATATAACTATGGTATTCTAATCTGCCTCTTTGCTTTCTTTAGATTTTACTTCTCATTTAATTATTTTTCTTCATTTATTCTTCTGCCTTATCTCTTTGTTTACTTATATCCTATTTATCTGTGTTTATCTGTTTATTGCTATTAAACAATCGATGGCGATGAAGTCTCTAAAACGAGTCGAAGCAGCAGAGCGCGCAAGAAACTCCAGCGGCGATATTAGAAATCATCATACCGTTCCATACCTACGGACATTGTTTACGAACAACTCCTGCCTAGCCACGACGTCAACCCCCAGGCGCAGCGCACATTCTCGTGATTCCCGGATCACGCGATGTTGGCTAACGATTGAAAGATGCACGGTAAATGAAGTGAATCATCTAGCTATAAGGGTTTACATCCCATTTTATATATATAGTGTGTTAGGTTTTGGTTGGGTAGGTTTTGGTTAGGTTAGGTAGGTTATTTGGGTTAAGTTATGTTATGGCGGTAAGTTATAATACAATAATAAAGTAAATTATACAGTAATAAATAAATAAATTGGAGAAATAAAGACTAAATTGGATCTGGTGTACTGGGACCCCACCTCAGAATATGTTCAGGTGAGCCATATAGGGGAGCTAGTGAACCATAGGGGCTGGTGAGCACAGGGAGGCTACAGGTGAGCCTGTAAAGAATGGGGTGGTGTGAGCCATGGGGGCTACAGGTGGTATGGGGGGCTGGGTGAGCCATGGGGGGGTGTGAGCCATGAAACTGGGTGAGAATGGCCATGGGGGCTACAGGTGAGCCATGGGGAACTGGGTGAGCCATGGGGGGCTACAGGTGAGCCATGGAGGCTAGATAGTGGGGGCTAGGGGCAGGCATGGGGGTGGTGGGTGGGGCCATAGGGGGGCTACAGGGTGGCGGCCATGGGGGGGCCTGGGTGAGCCATGGGGGCTGGGTGAGCCATGGGGGGCTGGGTGGGCATGGGGCTACAGGTGAGCCATGGGGCTGGGTGTGTGGCATGGGGGCTGGGTGAATATGGGGGCTGGGGAGGAGCCATGGGGGGCTACAGGTGGGCCATGGGGGTCTGGGTGGGCCATGGGGGATTCTGGGTGGGCCATGGGGTACAGGTGAGGCCATGGGGGCTACGCTGGTGAGGCCATGGGGCTGTGGGTGACCATGGGGGGCTGGTGAGCCATGAGAGTACTGGGTGGGCCATGAGGCTACAGGCGACATAGGGGCTGGTGAGCCATGGGGGGGCTATAGGTGGTGGCATGGGGGCTGGTGAGCCACAGGGGCTGGGTGGGAGACAAATGAAGGTGTGTGGCCATGGGGGCTGGGTGAGCCATGGAGACGGGATAAGGGGCTGGAGCTGCAGATTGGGGGCTGAGGCCATGGGGACACAGGTGAGCCATGGGGGGGCCTGGGTGAACATGAAGGAATACAGGTGTGAGTGAGCCATGGGGCTACAGGTGAGAACTGTGGGGGCTGGGTGGGTGTGGAGCCATGGGGGACTGGGTGAGGGCCATGGGGGCTACAGGTGAGCCATAGGGGCTGGGTGAGCCATGGGCTGGAGCCATGAGGCTGGGTGAGCCATGGGGGCTGGGTGGGCCATATGGGGCTGGAGAGGTGAGCCCATGGGGGCTGGGTGAGCCATGGGGGTGGGCATAGGGGCTAGGTGAGCCATGGGGGCTACAGGTGTGAGCCATGTGGGGGACTGGGTGAGCCATATGGGGCTGGGTGAGCCATGGGGTTACAGGGCATGGGGTTTGGGTGTGAGCCATGGGGCTACTGTGACCATGGGGCTACAGGTGAGCCATGGGGGCTACAGGTGAGCCATGGGGCTGGGTGAGCCATGGGGGCTGGGTGAGCCATGGGGGCCCAGGTGGGGCCATGGGGGCTGGTGAGCCCATGGGGGCTACAGGATTTCTACCTAAGCTAATTCTGTATTTATTTTCAGCTGTTGGGACGGTTATTGGTGGCACAAGAAAGTCGCAGCCCAGGAGAGTTTGGTTATCGCTATGGTAAGTCACAGTCGTTAGGGGATGGGGTGGTGATTGAGGAAAATTAACAGTTTAATATTTTTTAGGAATTTTCTTGTTAGATGAATCATTTTTATTTTATTAGGGATTTTTCTTTGTTAATTTTAGGATTTTATGAATCACTTGTAAATTTTTAGATTTTTTTTTTATTTTTAGTGATTTTTCGTTAGATGAATCATTATTTTAAATATTAATAGATTATGTCAAAGTATAATAACTATTTAAATATTAATAGATTATGTCAGTATAATAACTATTTAAATATTAATAGATTATATGTCAAAGTATAATAACTATTTAAATATTAATAGATTATGTCAAGCATAATAACTATTTTAAATATTAATAGATTATGTCAAAGTTTAATAACTATTTAAATATTAATAGATTATCAAAGTATAATAACATTTAAATATTATGATTATGTCAAAGTATAATAACTATTTTAAATATTAATAGATTATGTCAAAGTTTAATAACTATTTAAATATTAATAGATTATGTCAAAGTATAATAACTATTTAAATATTAATAGATTATGTCGTATAATAACTATTTTAAATATTAATAGATTATGTCAAAGTATAATAACTATTTTAAATATTAATAGATTATGTCAAAAGTTTAATAACTATTTTAAATATTAATAGATTATGTCAAAGTATAATAACTATTTAAATATTAATAGATTATGTCAAAGTATAATAACTATTTAAATATTAATAGATTATGCAAAGTATAATAACTCATTTTAAATATTAAGATTATGTCAAAGTTTAATAACTATTTAAATATTAATAGATTATGTCAAAGTATAATAACTATTTAATATTAATAGATTATGTTAAAGTTTAATAACTATTTAAATATTAATAGATTATTACTAAAGTATAATAACTATTTAAATATTAATAGATTATGTCAAAGTATAATAACTATTTAAATATTAATAGATTATGTCAAAGTATAATAACTATTTAAATATTAATAGATTATGTCAAAGTATAATAACTATTTAAATATTAATAGATTATGTTAAAGTTTAATAACTATTTAAATATTAATAGATTACGTCAAAGTATAATAACCATTAAATATTAATAGATTATGTCAAAGTATAATAACTATTTAAATATTAATAGATTATGTCAAAGTATAATAACAATATTAAATATTAATAGATTATGTCAAGTATAATAACTATTTAAATATTAATAGATTACGTCCATATAATAACTATTTAAATATTAATAGATTATGTCAAAGTATAATAACTATTTAAATATTAATAGATTATGTCAAAGCAATAACTATTTTAAATATTAATAGATTATGTCAAAGTATAATAACTATTTTACAGTTATCAACAATGGTCGTGATGGGGCACAGTCAGTCTACCACCTGCACCTCCACATACTAGGGGGCCGGCAGATGAAGTGGCCTCCTGGCTAATGGAAGTTGTAATGCTACCTTGTATATATTTAGTAAGGTTCCAATATTATCTTATGAATGTTTTAGAAGGTTTCATTGCTACCTTGTAAATGTTTAGAAGGTTTCAATGCTACCTTGTAAATGTTTAGAAGGTTCCAATGCTTCCTTATTAATGTTTAGAAGGTTTCAATGCTTCCTTATTAATGTTTAGAAGGTTCCAATGCTACCTTATAAATGTTTAATAAAGTTCCAACACTCTTGTAAACATTTAGGAAGGTCATACTTACTGGGCTTCTCATTTTCCCCGGATTCTCGGAGACTTTCCCCTAGCCTAACCTAACCAAACTGAGCCTTTGGGGCAAATGAGTCAAATATGAAACTATAATGAATTTACCGACTTTTGTATTTCAATTATTTTACCAATTTCTTCTCATTATTCACTTACTCGTGGGAAACTTTGTAACAAATAAAAAAAAATAATAATGATTGCTGATTTATTTTGCCATGAATAATTTTTTATACGGAGTAACAATGACCGTGTGAGTGCCTGGCCTGTGTGACTCGACACAATGATGATGTAGTTTTTTGTCAGTAAATCGGATTATTTTTGTTTGTTTACATAGATTTGTATATTTTAATTGATTTATATGACTTCTCAAGATATGATTTTTGTAAACATTATAATGTCAACACCTCTAGCATTCTTTCACTACACACTACAGTACAATACACCACACGGCACTACACTACACTATACTACATTATACTCTAAAAAAAAATAATGGTTGCCTCTCATGTAACAAGGATGGCCAACTAGGCATTAATTTGTTCAGCTCATTGTCAACATACACACCTAGGTCCTTCTCACACAGTCTCAACTAGTGCAGTTTCTTTATCCCGCTTGGGACATAGGATCGCCTCCTCACCGCTGGCACGGCCCCAGGTGCATCCTCTTACACTCGTGACATTGAATCTCAGCCATTTTTCGACCATTCTTGGAGCCCACAGAGGTCTGCAGCTCTTCACAGTCCGCTTGGTTCTGATTCCCAAATAACCAAGGCCATCGTAAACATTCGTATGGAGGAGTGTACAACGTCAGGCATGTCATTTATGAAACAATCAAAACAACAGGGTCCTATACACTGCCCTGTGGTACCTCAAGCTTGTGACAGGTACAGATGATGATTTCGTGCCATTAATCACCACACACTGCTTATGTCATAGGAAAGTCTTCTATCCACGCTAGGACATTTCCTCGAACCTGCATCTTCCAGTTTAATTTTCAGCCTTTCTTGAGCACACTGCCAAAAGCCTTTGGCTAATCTAGGTAAATATTGTTGATATTACAGAGTCTGCCAGCTGAGATGCACATCGATGTCCGCGGTGGTGGACAGGTGGAGCCGAGATACTGAAAGTGGGTAACAGAGAGGGTAGTACTGTTAAACTGGATGGCTGGAGGTGTGGCTGAACCAGGGGCAGGCTGAGAGAAAATCTGAATCTACGTACATTCACCTCAAGGCCGAAGTGTGTGTACAGATCTGTGTGTAGGTGTTCAAGATCTCCTGTAGGTTGTGTTCAGTGTGAGCGACAAGGAGGTCGTCTGCATACTGAAGTTCAGTAATGGAAGCTGCCGACACCTTGTTCCCAGGTCTTATGTTGAAAAGATCCTTCACTCCGACTTTATGTCCACCTCAAGCCGGCTAAATTGACCCTGGCAAGACATAGATAGACAAGTTAGAAAGACAGATAGATAGACTTAGAAAGACAATGAAGTTAGAAAGACAGATAGATAGACAGTTAGAAAGACAGATAGATAGACAGTTAGAAAGACAGATAGATAGACAGTTAGAAAGACAGGATAGATAGACAGTTAGAGCAGATAGAGACAGTTAGAAAGACAGATAGATAGACAGTTAGAAAGACAGATAGATAGACAGTTAGAAAGACAGATAGATAGACAGTTAGAAAGACAGATAGATAGACAGTTAGAAAGACAGATAGATAGACAGTTAGAAAGACAGATAGATAGACAGTTAGAAAGATAGATAGATAGACAGTTAGAAAGACATAGATAGACAGATAGATAGACAGTTAGAAAGACAGATAGATAGACAGTTAGAAAGACAGATAGATAGACAGTTAGAAAGACGGATAGATAGACAGTTAGAAAGACAGATAGATAGTTAGAAAGACAGATAGATAGTTAGAAAGACAGATAGATAGACAGTTAGAAAGACAGATAGATAGACAGTTAGAAAAACAGATAGATAGACAGTTAGAAAGACAGATAGAGATAGATAGTTAGAAAGACAGATAGATAGTTAGAAAGACAGATAGAGACAGTTAGAAAGACAGATAGATAGACAGTTAGAAAGACAGATAGATAGACAGTTAGAAAGACAGATAGAGACAGTTAGAAAGACAGATAGATAGACAGTTAGAAAGACAGATAGACAGTTAGAAAGACAGATAGATAGACAGTTAGAAAGACAGATAGATAGACAGTTAGAAAGACAGATAGATAGACAGTTAGAAAGACAGATAGATAGACAGTTAGAAAGACAGATAGATATACAGTTAGAAAGACAGATAGATAGACAGTTAGAAAGACAGATAGATAGACAGTTAGAAAGACAGATAGATAGACAGTTAGAAAGACAGATAGATAGACCGTTAGAAAGACAGATAGATAGACAGTTAGAAAGACAGATAGATAGACAGTTAGAAAGACAGATAGATAGACAGTTAAAGACAGATAGATAGACAGTTAGAAAGACAGATAGATAGACAGTTAGAAAGACAGATAGAGACAGTTAGAAAGACAGATAGATAGACAGTTAGAAAGACAGATAGACAGTTAGAAAGACAGATAGATAGACAGTTAGAAAGACAGATAGATAGACAGTTAGAAAGACAGATAGATAGACAGTTAGAAAGACAGATAGATAGACAGTTAGAAAGACAGATAGATATACAGTTAGAAAGACAGATAGATAGACAGTTAGAAAGACAGATAGATAGACAGTTAGAAAGACAGATAGATAGACAGTTAGAAAGACAGATAGATAGACCGTTAGAAAGACAGATAGATAGACAGTTAGAAAGACAGATAGATAGACAGTTAGAAAGACAGATAGATAGACAGTTAGAAAGACAGATAGATAGATAGACAGAATTTTATATTTTTTGTGTTGTCATGTTTTCTTGCAACTATTACTGAAAGCTTAACTGTGTATATTATCTAAAGCTACTTATATATTTAGTCATTATACTCTTATACTGCCTTATACTGATGACTAATTAGTGGCGAAATAAAAAAAATAAAAATTCTCTATGGAATATGTCTCAGGCCATGGTGACTGTTCGGATAATTGGCTCTGGCTTTGGTTGATGATTTAGGTGAAGAAATGTATTATTATATATTTTTTTAATTTATTTAAGTAATAATGTAGAAGAAATATAAAACTTTTATTTATTTTGCTCACATAGTTAATAAATTCATTTAATATTGATAATAATATAAGATATACCTGTTAGAAATAGAATAGTTAATAAAGCCATTCGAACACAGTCTTCTGTCAGTTGCGCCATCTGGTCTTCTCTTGTCCATTATGTTATGTTCGGATGTCTGGCTGTGGCTTTAATTAATTACACAACTAAGAAAATACTAAAAATCACTCAAAAATAGGAAAAAAAGTTATTTATTTTACATATTTTATATATACATACTAAATTTAATTCTTTGTAGGTTAATTAATAATGATTTTATGGGCATAAGTTTATATAATAGGTTTTAATAAGGTAATCGGACAGTGTGTGTTGTCGTCTGATAGAGGGAGGCATTATGGCTTCCAGCAGCTGTATTGACGACCTAGTCCAGTCTGTAGGCCTTTATGTACCCCGACCACTGCTCCTACATGGCTACGTTTGCCCTTTTATAGTGTTATATGGGGCGTGGGCGTGGGCGTGGGTGGTTATATACGGCTGGGAGGAATATTTCGAGGCGGGGCTGATTGTGTTGGCGGCCATCGGATGTCTCCATGTGTTGACCTGTCTCTTCTGTCACTGGTCTGTCCATGTTCGGTGTCTCCTTACCTGTAGGACAGTAAGTATCTCATCTGGTGTATCTTATCTGTCTATGATCACTGTCTCCTTACCTGGTGTCTCTTCTGTCTCTTACCTGTCCATGTTTACTGTCTTCTCACCTGTAGGACAGTAATTATCTCACCTGGTGTCTCTTCTGTCTCTTACCTGTCCATGTTTACTGTCTCCTCACCTGTAGGACAGTAATTAACTCACAAAACGTAACAGTAATACCGTCGGTGAGTCATGGGGGAAGGTGTAGTCCACGGGTAGCCTGGATCACATTATCATGACCCCGACTCTGAAAAAATAGCGTTTGTTCAATAGGGGAATATGTTATGTTAGGTTATATAATGGTAACACTGTGTAGCCACTCAGGGGGTTAGGTTAGGGTAGGTCAGGGTAGGTTAATGGTAGGTCAGGGTAGGTTAATGTTAGGTCAGGGTAGGGTAGGTCAGGTCAGGGTATGTTAATGTTAGGTTAGGTTATGTCAGGTCAGGGTAGGTTAGGTTAAATAAGGAAAATATTAGTATTTATGTTTTTCCCCCAAAATGATATCCAATAAAAAAGCAGCAAAATTCATGCAAGAAAAAACTGTTTTTGCTGTCGTAAGAGTTCACATCACTTAAGTAAATGTTTACCACCCTAACCATAATGTAACCCAGCAAAACCTAACCTAACCTAACCTAACTGTGCAAGTGTTGTAGAGCAGCGCTTCTCAAACTATCTGATGTGGCCGACCGGCATGGTTTTTTTCAATGTGCCACGGACCGGCGAGCGAAGCGAGCCAATCCCGGGGCCTATAGGCCCCCCCCCACCCCCCCAGGAAAATCTTTTGAGATATGTCCCACAATAATTTTTTGTTTTTCAACTTTACACAGGAATAGTGTGAACCGGCCTTTAAGATTATTAGTACTTACATTTTCAGATCAGTGGGTTGGGATGGGGTCCCAAATGACAAACACTCAGATACCTGTATGATGCTCTGTTCCACTTGTTGATGGTAACTAACCACTGACCTGTGACCTGACATCACAGACTGCTGATCCACACGTGTGGAATAGCAGGGTTGCCAGCTGTGTGACACCCTTCACGGCTGGCACGCATAGTAAAAAATCGGCCATTTCTTTTAATGGGATGCATACATTTATTTTATCCAAAATTAAATAACTACCATACTTAAAATAAAAAGATTTATGTTTTGGGTGGATATGACGTAACTGTGGCCGAGAAACGTGGCAATTCTGGCAACACAAGGTGATGCGCCCTATTGATATCCCCAGGTGTGGCTCCCACAGAGTCAAACGCCACATCATCATGAAGGTGTTGTTATACGTATTTCAGTTCTCTGTTTTGCTGTTCATTATATCGCATTATATAGCATAGCAATGACTTATAACATGAGTGAGTAAATGAAAAATATAGCCATAATAAATATAAAAACTACAATGAAAATGTAAAAAAAAAAAGACCGAGTCAGATGTCCCGGCAGTGTCACGTGGTGTGGAACGTGTTTACCGTTTCTTTCTTTTCTGAAAACTCTCCGCGTACCGGCAGACGATGGCTCACGGACCGGCACCGGTCCGCGGACCACACTTTGAGTAGCACTGTTGTAGAGTATTACCAAGCTTGTTTGTACTAGGCTATATAACAGAATACTTGGAGTACTGCTCTCATATCTGGGGTGGCTCTGTTAGATAGGGTGGAATCAAAGGTATTTCGTCTTATTAACTCTCCTCCTTTAGTTGATAATCTTTCTTTCCTTTCTCTTCACCATAATGTTGCTTCACTCTCTCTCTTTTACAGGTACTTTATGGATTTGGCAGCCTGTGTACCGCCGTGGGTTCGTAACACACGTCTTGCCCGCGGTGCCCACCGTTTCTCTGTGGACTTCGGTCACACTTTAATAACCCGTTACATTACCTCCTTCTTTCCTCACACAGCAAAACTGTTAGGTTATGTTACATTTTGTCAGGTTAGGTCAGGTCAGGTTAGGTTAGGTTAGGTTAGCATTAGGAAATTTAATCTTTAGATGATATAAGATTGCTGGGTGAATCTTCAGACAATCCACCCCCACCCTCCCACCCACCTTCACCTTCCCCCACCCACCCCCACACCTTTCCCCACACTCTTCTACACTCTTCCCCACCTTCCCCACCTAATTTCACCTTCTCACTCCACCCCACAAAAAATAAATACTAAAACGTGTTATATTTATCGTTGTTTTGCTCGCAGAAAGGGACCCTGCAGCTGCATCGGCCAAGAAACAATGGCCTCAGAACCCGCCACAGTGCACAAGACATATGTAAGTAAACGATAATTCCACGTTATATTGTACAGGTTAATGTGGTCGTTATATTGTACAGTACAGGTTAATGTGGTCGTTATATTGTACAGGTTAATGTGGTCGTTATATTGTACAGTACAGGTTAATGTGGTTATATTGTATAGAATAGGTTAGGTTAGGTTAGGTTGTGTGGGTGTGTAATTAATATCTCTCTCTCAGATCACCAAAGACTCCAGGGAAAGCGTCTGGTTCACATTTCAAAAGGCCAAGTACCTCTGGGACGATGGTGAGAAGAAACGCTTCGTCGGCCTCCAGTTCCCCGTCGACCTCCAGTTCCGGACGTACGCGGAGTGGAGAGGTTACCAGGAGGACGCTGACCTCTCGGCGGCGGAGCAGAGATACGGGAAGAACAAGTAAGTGGCGATTAAACCACGTCGTTGGGAGTAAACCAGGTCGTTAGGGTGATATTTCTGTTTAATGGACTGTGGAGAGGAATGTTCATTATATTAAGGGTCCGTTAGATATGAAACCTCTATATAATAAACTATATGGAGAGGAGAGTACGTTATATCAAGGGTTTGTTAGATGTGGGCCCTCGATATAATGGACTTTCATCCCAATAGTTCATTATATTGAGGTTTCACTTCATGCCTAGTATGGACCATAGGGGTTGGGTGTAGATGGGGCCCCCTGCCTAGTATGGACCATAGGGGTTGGGTGTAGATGGGGCCTCCTGCCTAGTATGGACCATAGGGTTGGGTGTAGATGGGGCCCCTGCCAGTATGGACCATAGGGTTGTAGATGGGCCCCTGCCAGTATGGACCATAGGGGTTGGGTGTAGATGGGGCCCCCTGCCTAGTATGGACCATAGGGGTTGGGTGTAGATGGGGCCCCCTGCCTAGTATGGACCATAGGGGTTGGGTGTAGATGGGGCCCCCTGCCTAGTATGGGCCAATAGTTACTGTTTCATCCATTCTTATGTTCTTAACCTAACCCAACAATGCTAACATAACCTAACCTAACCCAATGCTGACATAGGTTAGAATTAGACACACTTATGAGTTACTTAGATACACTTAAGAGTTACTTATGTGTTTGTGTTCAGTCTTCAGATGGACGTACCCGAATTCATGGAGCTATTCAAAGAGAGAGCTACTGCGCCTTTCTTTGTGTTCCAGGTGAGTTGATTAGTGTTACTTGTGTTCCTTACCTGTCCTTCTCGACCATGTAACTACCTTGTACAGTGCTTGCTCGGTTATGATGATGATGACCTAGGATATGATACTAGTAATAATAATAATAATAATAATAATAATAATAATAATTAACGGTTTATTGAAAGAGCATGGCAGCCGGAAGGCTGAAAATCTACAATTACATAATCGGGGAATGGTTCTCTTGATTTACAAATGATGTACAAGTAACATAAGTGATACAAATATGATATATAATAATAAGGTGTTGATAATTTTTACAATGGTTGGGACTGGGCTGTTCTTGTAGCAATCAGTTCGTACTCGTATGGGCTGGATGCGGTTGGGCAGGTGTGTGGCCACGTGGCCAGGACAGTAGCTTGGGGCAATGCAGGTGTGCTCCATCCTTCAGGTTAGGTCAGGTGAAGCCGTGAGGTCAGGTCAGGTTAGGTCAGATCCAGCCACACTCAGTATTGCTGTGTTTTGTGTTTTTCTTTCGAGTTAAAATTGGCACTTTTGTATATCACTTGTGGGTTGATCGTCAATCTTTGCACTGTACTGTTGGTGTGAGGATGTTGATAAATCCAGATGGGAAGGAGATGGGGGAGGGGACGGCCTGACAGACCGGGCTGGCAGCTGTCTCCATGATCAAGAGACCACGGCCGCGTTAGCGGGCAGCGCTGACTACGCACGTCCTTACCCTATGAAGGCAGAGGGAAGTGTGCGTGTGTGTGAAATTGTAGTCAGATATTTTTATTTTGGTTAGGTTAGGTTGAGTACATGATTGATGAAGCATTATTCTCTTACAGGTATTTTGTGTCGGACTCTGGTGTCTGGATGAGTACTGGTACTATAGCCTCTTCACGCTCTTCATGTTGGTCATCTTTGAGTGTACTCTAGTCCAGCAACAATTGAGAAATATGTCCGAGATCCGCAAGATGGGGGCCAAGCCTTACATGATACAGGTAGGTGGGGTTAGGTTAGGTTTACAGGTAGGTGGGGTCAGGGTGAGTCATCTCAGAGAGTCATCCTGTGTGTGAGTTTCACCGTGAGGAAAGAACTTTTCTCCCCTGCTGTACATAGATCGTTAAGGTGTACAAACAATCTCCCACCAATTACATTTCAGGATGCTATCATCCTCCCAAATTCTGAAATAAATATGTTAGGCCTCACCATATCCTCTAATATGTCACTGAAGCCACACATCCTCAACATTGCTAAAGCTGCCTCCTGAAAGCTGGGAATACTGTACAGATCCTACTTCACTCCTGAGCAGTTGGTTCAAGTATATAAGGGATTCATTCGTCCTAACTTGGAGTACTGCTCTCATATCTGGGGTGGCTCTGTTAGATAGGGTGGAATCAAAGGCATTTCGTCTTATTAACTCTCCTCCTTTAGTTGATAATCTTTCTTCCCTTTCTCCTCACCACAATGTTGCTTCACTCTCTCTCTTTTACAGGTACTTTAACGGACAATGTTCAGTGGATTTGGCATCCTGTGTACCGCCGGCAAGGCCGTGGGTTCGTAACACACGTCTTGCCCGCGGTGCCCACCGTTTCTCTGTGGATGTCGGTCACACGAGAATAACCCGTTATAGTACCTCCTTCTTTCCTCACACAGCCAAGCTGTGGAATGCTCTGCCTTCTTCTGTGTTTCCATGCTCTTACAATCTGTCTCACTTTAAAAAGCTGGTTTTCCGGCATCTTCGTGGTGTAGATTAATACAGTACTATAACTTTTTTCTATATTTACAATTTCTTTCCGTTCTTCTTTTTCACCCCCCAGGCTCCGTTGTGGGTCGTTTGACCTGTGCCCGGGTGGGCTAATTCCCGTAAAAAAAAATTACAGTTAACGACCTTATTTTACAGCATATAAGACACATTTCTCCTGATAAATGGCTCAAAAATCCTCCTGTGTCCTATATGTGAAGCTGTGGTCTCCTGTAAGCTGATGATTCCTCCAGTTGGTGTCTCCAGTAGGATTAATTCTACCTAACACAACTCTAGAATAATAAATTTGTTATTGCCTACTTAAATGTTATTATTAGTTTTATTTAACGAAAAAATAATTATTGTAAATATAAAAGCTGGGTTTATAACGACTGTTGTTAGCCCGAGGTGATTAACGTCCGTACGGCAGACACCCAACTCCTCAGAGGCAGCTAAGCAGTGACCATTTCTGAACTCTTATAAGCATTACAATCTATTAATGCCATACCTGCAACATTTATTTTAAATCTACTAACACCTGAAACAAATGAAGATTTATAGATAACTTTCTTTTCACCATTACATCTGTTAACATCACTGGCATCATTGTGGCCAAGTTAGACTCCTGTAACCAGCAGGCTACTGGGCCAAGCTGTGAGGCATTATGGTTGTTTATCATCTTGTATTTACAGGCTGATATACATAACTTTCTTGACTAATACACACACACACACACCTTCCTTCATACACACACACACACACACACCTTCGGGCAAACACATAAAGGTAATATACATTTATTTACACACGAGTTAGCTGTCTTAGTGGGAGAGCAGGTGGACGACTGGGCTGTTGGCAGTATGGTGATCGTCGCTAGGGAATCAGCGGAGGTTAGCATCACCGTTGCTATGGTGAACCAGGGGGGAGTATATGCCAATGACGACTGTGTTAAACTTGCATTTGTCTTTTATTTACTGTGTCCGGCAATACAGTATATTTGTTGGAACTTATTTATTGGTGTTATTTTTGTATTTATTCCTCACATTTACTGTATATATTATTTTAAGAAAACTATGACTACAAGAGGAAAATACATACCGAAGTTTGTTCTTAGTACTCCCTGGTAAAATGGGGTGTGTGTCTTATGTGGCCATGTGTCTTATATGGCCATGTGTCTTATATGGCCATGTGTCTTATATGGCCATGTGTCTTAAATGGCCTTAAAATACAGTGCTAAAATCCTGTCTCCTCTTCTGAACCACAAACCTCAGGATTCAGACTCATGAACCCGGACCAGTTAACTGATGCATAATTCTGTCCATAAATGCATCGGGTTCATGAATGTGAATCCTCGGGTTCGTGGCTCAGGAGGAGAAGAGATGGGACTTAAGTAGTTAACTGTATGTTATTTATAATACCTCTGTGATCTGTACAGTCGGGGAGAGAACTGACTTGGCCTGACTTACCTTGACTTACCCTGACTTACCTTGACTTACCTTGACTTACCCTGACTTACCTTGACTTACTCTGACTTCTAACTGTTTATACTTTACCTGCAGAGTCTATTTACATGCTGGACCAATTAATGCTATTATTAGTATTATTATTATTCGCTGGTTGCGTTTCTTCAGGTATACCGGAACCGCCGTTGGCGTTCGGTCATGACGGACCAGCTCGTTCCCGGAGACATCGTTAGCGTGAGCCGCAGCCAGAACGACAATCTGGTCCCCTGCGACTTACTCCTTCTACGGGGACCCTGTGTTGTGGATGAGAGTATGCTGACAGGTGGGTACTGGTGGTCTGGGGTATAACCTGGGTGTATCGTGGGTGTATGTTGTGTTGTAGTGAAGGGAGTTTGATTAATGACTCACGTGAGAGAGAGAGAGAGAGAGAGAGAGAGACTTTATATATATATATATATATATATATATATATATATATATATATATATATATATATATATATATATATATATATATATATATATATATATATATATATATAATCAGCTGTATCTACATCTTCAGTCTACTCACTTTCTGAAGATGCAACTGGCACGAAGCGCTTTTTGGGAACTTCGTGGTTTTCTTTCCTCAGGTTGCCCAGCACACCAGATCACGCCGCACCTACAGTGATTTACTTGCATATATATATATATATATATATATATATGTGTGTGTGTGTGTGTGTCGACGGCTGACAGTGCTTAGCGTTTAACCTCGCACTACTAACGATGGCTAAGTTTCAGCCCATTGTGGTTCACTGGCTAACTACCTTACTACCCCCCTCCATGGTGATCAGGGATTCGAATCTTGGCTCCTAGAGGTGAAAATTATTTACATACAGTCGCTCAAAAAAAAAAATACAAAGTTGCTTTCGACAATATGATACAACGGGCGAAGGCTTTTGACAACACTACCGAGACAATGGGAGTCGTACCGTTCATTGTGGAATTCATCGACCGCCCTCCCTACACACACACACACACACACACGACCACCCCTTGTGAAGATAGTTTTTGGAGCGACTGTACACATTGATTTACTGGTGTATGTTAAGGTATATTGAAAGCTTCTGTGTTGGTGATGAATTGTAATGTGGATGGATCACCGGTAGATTCCCCCTCCCCCCAGTTCACCTAACCTAACAAAAATATAACCTAACCTAACCAAGTATAACCTACTCTAACCTAACCTAAGCTAACCAAACCTAATTTAGTCTAACCTAATTCAGCTTAACCTAACATAACTTCACCTAACCTAATGTAACTTATCTTAGTCAAACCTAACTTATCCAAACCTAACTAAACCTAACCTAACCTAACCTAACCAACCCCCACAGGTTAAATATACTAGTAGTCTGGCTAATATAATCTTCACCTCTCTCTCTCTCTCTCTCTCTCTCTCTCTCTCTCACCAGGCGAGTCAGTACCGCAGATGAAGGAGAGTCTGGAAGCCGTAGAGTTGGACCGCTACCTGGATTTAACTACCGACGCTAAGCTGCACGTCTTGTTTGGGGGCACCAAGGTCGTTCAACACACACCCCCCAGCAAGACGGTCACTGGTCTTCGAGGTTAGTTTTGTTTTTTTGTTTTTTTCCCTGTTTGTTTATCGGAGTTTTTTCCTTTCATGTGATTGGATTCCTTTCCTGTGATAATATTCCTTTATTGATGTGATTGCAGCTAATTTTTGTACATAAATTATTGTTCTATTGTAGTTTGTTATATTGTGTTTGAGTGTTATTGTTAGGTCAGGTCAGGTCATGTTAGGTTAGGTCAGAAACACAACCCCAGTATTAAATGAAGGACACCCTAATACAACTATAGCAAACAGTAAACCTTTCCGACACAACTGATAATTAACCTCGTTCTCAGCGCCTGATAACGGCTGTGTGTTAGGTCAGGTCAGGTCAGGTCATGTTAGGTCAGAAACACAACCCCAGTATTAAATGAAGGACACCCTAATACAACTATAGCAAACAGTAAATCTAGCCGACACAACTGATAATTAACCTCGTTCGCAGCGCCTGATAACGGCTGTGTGTTAGGTCAGGTCATGTTAGGTCAGAAACACAACCCCAGTATTAAATGAAGGACACCCTAATACAACTATAGCAAACAGTAAATCTAGCCGACACAACTGATAATTAACCTCGTTCGCAGCGCCTGATAACGGCTGTGTGTTAGGTCAGGTCAGGTCATGTTAGGTTGGAGTCAAAACCTGGCCCAGTAAATGAAGGACACCCTAATACAACTATAGCAAACAGTAAATCTAGCCGACAACTGATAATTAACCTTGTTCGCAGCGCCTGATAACGGCTGTGTGTGCTACGTCCTGCGCACAAACTTCAACACCGCACAAGGGAAGCTGCTTAGGACCATACTCTACGGTGTCAGCCGCGTCACTGCCAACAATTTAGAAACCTTCGCGTTTATCCTCTTCCTGTTGATATTTGCGATAGCTGCGGCATCGTACGTCTGGGTTAAGGGTAAGTTTGGGCTCCAGCTTGGGGTGTAACGAGTGAGTGGCAGTCATGACAGATCCAGCTTGGGGTGTAACGAGTGAGTGGCAGTCATGACAGATCCAGCTAGTGTAACGAGTGAGTGGCAGTCATGACAGATCCAGCTTGGGGTGTAACGAGAGTGAGTGGCAGTCATGACAGATCCAGCTTGGGGTGTAACGAGTGAGTGGAGTCATGACAGATCCAGCTAGGGGTGTAACGCAGTGAGTGGCAGTCATGACAGATCCAGCTTGGGGTGTAACGAGGAGTGGCAGTCATGACAGATCCAGCTTGGGGTGTACCAGTGAGTGGCAGTCATGACAGATCCAGCTTGGGGTGTAACGAAAGGAGTGGCAGTCAGACAGATCCAGCTTGGGGTGTAACGAGTGAGTGGCAGTCATGACAGATCCAGCTTGGGGTGTACGAAAGTGAGTGGCAGCCATGACAGATCCAGCTTGGGGTGTAACGTGAGTGGCAGTCATGACAGATCCAGCTTGGGGTGTAACGAGTGAGTGGCAGCCATGACAGATCCAGCTAGTGTACGAGTGAGTGGCAGTCATGACAGATCCAGCTTGGGGTGTAACGAGGAGTGGCAGTCATGACAGATCCAGCTAGGTGTAACGAGGAGTGGCAGCCATGACAGATCCAGCTAGGTGTAACGAATGAGTGGCAGTCATGACAGATCCAGCTTGGGGTGTAACGAGTGAGTGGCAGCCATGACAGATCCAGCTTGGGGTGTAACGAGTGAGTGGCAGTCATGACAGATCCAGCTAGGGGTAACCAGTGAGTGGCAGCCATGACAGATCCAGCTTGGGGTGTAACGAGTAGTGGCAGCCATGACAGATCCAGCTTGGGTGTAACGAGGAGTGGCAGCCATGACAGATCCAGCTTGGGGTGTAACGGTGAGTGGCAGTCATGACAGATCCAGCTTGGGGTACGAAAGGGAGTGGCAGTCATGACAGATCCAGCTAGGGTGTAACGAGGAGTGGCAGCCATGACAGATCCAGCTTGGGGTGTAACGAGTGAGTGGCAGCCATGAACAGATCCAGCTAGTGTAACGAGAGAGTGGCAGCCATGACAGATCCAGCTAGTGTAACGAGTGAGTGGCAGTCATGACAGATCCAGCTTGGGGTGTAACGAGTGAGTGGCAGCTCGCGACAGATCCAGCTTGGGGGTGTAACGAGAGTGGCAGATCCAGCTTGGGGTGTAACGGTGAGTGGCAGTCATGACAGATCCAGCTTAGTAACGAGTGAGTGGCAGTCATGACAGATCCAGCTAGTGTAACGAGGAGTGGCAGCCATGACAGATCCAGCTTGGGGTGTACGAGTGAGTGGCAGCTGCGACAGATCCAGCTTGGGGTGTAACCAGTGAGTGGCAGTCATGACAGATCCAGCTTGGGTGTAATCGGTGAGGGCAGCCATGACAGATCCAGCTTGGGGTGTAACGAGTGAGTGGCAGTCATGACAGATCCAGCTTGGGTGTAACGAGAGTGGCAGCCATGACAGATCCAGCTTGGGGTGTAACGAGGAGTGGCAGTCATGACAGATCCAGCTTGGGGTGTAACGAGAGGAGTGGCAGTCATGACAGATCCAGCTTGGGGTGTAACGAGTGAGTGGCAGTCATGACAGATCCAGCTTGGGGTGTAACGAGTGAGTGGCAGCCATGACAGATCCAGCTTGGGGTGTAACGAGGAGGCAGTGCGACAGATCCAGCTAGGGTGTAACGAGAGTGGCAGCCATGACAGATCCAGCTAGGGTGTAACGAGGAGCAGGCAAGCAACATGCAACTGAACGAAGCACACTGAT